AAGAACATAATCAAATTTTTGTTTTGGATACCCAAATTTTCTTGGGTCCTCGAGTGTTAGTACTCAATTCTTGTACCTTTTGGAATCCACTTCATCCTAGTAATCTTATCTTGAGATGTGCTAACTTCTTTTGGAATTCACACACTCCTAATGAGTTTACCTCTATGAGTGACTTTCTTCAAGGAACAATATTGTATAGAATGATCAATTTATGACAATATGTATATTTGCTAGATGAATCATTTGGCTTAACAAGGAAATTCTTCAAGTGAGTCTTTGTCACCACTATTATATCCTAATTCATCTTTATCAAAGAATGCTTTTTGTGTTTCAAGCATATCATTGAGTTTTTGATGTCCCGTATAAAATCTAGAAAATGAGTTATGCAAATTTTCATTTTTCTTAGTCATCAGCATTTAATTTTAAAAGCTCAATTTCTTTTTTTAAGTCATTCTTTGCTTTAGTTAGAAGTTTATTCTCTACCTTTAGTTGCTTCCTCAACTCCTCCAACTCTGGTGGGGACAATTGATAAGGGGCTCTAGCTGGTGGCTTGGCCTCGGGCACCAGCTCGATCTTGTCGTCCACCTCCCTCTTAGGTGGTAGCTTGCTAGGCAGTTTTGCAGGCATCACATCGCTAAAGGACTCCAGCACCTTTAGCACCTCCAAGGGGGTATCGGTCTCCTTCTCCCTTGGTTCCTCATATTTCAGGGTTGCAAAGGTGTCTTCAACCCTGCTCACCACCTTGGCAAATTGAATGGCTGACACCACCTTAAACCTAATCTTGAACCCACCCCTCAATGGTACAGGGCATTGGCACCGTGCATCCAAAATGCATATACAATTGGCAAAAGGCACGAGAAGGGCGTTAATCCGAACAAGGAAGTCTAACCCAATCATAAACTCAGTCATCCAGGGGTATTACCTCAATTGTTTCCTTGCCTTCCTAGTCTCCAAGCTGCAACTCCATTCCCCGTGCAACTCCAATGACTGGAACCTCCTTGGAGTTCACTGTCTTGATGGTACCAGTCTCTTTCTGCACCTTTAGTCTGAGCTTTTGGGCTCCATCACCTGAAATAAACAGATGTGAGGCACCTGGGTCCACTAGTGCGCTCATTTTTGTGCCCGCAACCATCAGATTCGCGAACATCAAGCCTTTTGGCTTGCGGATTCCCTTACTCTGGATAGCATTGAGCACCAACGACCTAAGCTTTGCTGCCCTTGCCTCTGGCTCCTTGTCAGACTCCTTGTCTACAGCAACCAGCTTGCCCTTTCGTGGGCAGTTGTGCGCTATGTGGCTTCCTCTAGATAGGTAGCATGAGATCAGCTCATGGTCTCCCTTTGCCTTCCACGTCCCTGTTGGTGGCTTCTCTCGCCATCTTTGTCCAAACGGTCTTGGTCCCCATCCTTGGATTGTCGATCACGGTCCTTTCCCTTGGACTGCTTCTCCCAATCCCTCTTGTCCTTGCCCTTTCCCTTGGGCTTAGAAGACTCAAACTTGTTCTGTGGTTTGAACTCCACCAAGGACTCAGCAATAGTCATGGCTTTAGCCAAGTCACGAACTCCCTGCCTTTGTAGCTCATGCTTCACCCACAGCTTTAGCCCATCCATGAAGGCAAACAAACCCTCGGTCTCGCTTAGATTTGAAATCTGAAGCATCAGTTCAAAGAATTTCTGGACATACTCCTTTATGTCCCCTTGTTGGCTAAGCCTACGCAACTTCGACCGCGCCTCATCATTGGTGTACTCCAGGTAAAACTGCTCCTTGAACTCTTTTTTGAACTCTGCGTAGGTTCCAATCATGGCACCCCCGTGCCTTACATCATCACACCTGCGCCTCCACCACAAGAAGGCAACATCAGTAAGATACATCGATGCGGTGCTTTACCTTGGTAGCATCCTCTTGCATGCTTGTGGCTCAGAAGTACTGCTTCATGCCCTATTGGTAGTTGTCTACTTCCTTGGCCACCTTAGTCCCTTTGAACTCCTTGGGCTTGGGAATCACCACACAGGTCTTAAACGCTCTAGTAAACATGCCATTCCCAATGGCAGTCTTGCACGCAACGAGCTCGCTCCTGAGCTCCTCCATCTCTTTGCGCATGGCCTCCATGCCATCACACATGGTCTCCACCTGGGCTTTCAAGGCTTGATTCCTCTGGGTGATCATGTCCAGGCCCTCATTGAGAGCAGCTTGTAACTTATCCTTGAGCTCCTCCATGAAGTCTAGCACTTCAACGTGAGTCTCTACATCATCAAGCTTTTCCTTCATATCGCCCAGGGTCACCTCCACCTTGGACAACCTCCCACCCATGGTGGACCAGATGTCTTTTGAACTGGCCTTTTTGTCCCTTTTCGCAACCTTGTTCTTAGGCCTCTATTTGTTGGCTAGCAACATCGCTTTGGGATGCCATCTCCTTGATTGTGATCTAACCTGCACACAAACACAAGCAAAACCGAAACTGCTCTGATACCAACTCTCATGGGTTTTGACCTAAGACTTAGAATCCGTGTGGCCTTAGGCTTGGAATCATCTCCTTCTAGCCTAAGTCAGCCTAAAACACAAGCATGCGGGCACTAAAACAACTAGAAGGACAGAATGTGCAAGTTTGAGAAAAATAGAAGAACAAGAGAATTGCTGGAATATGCTCTGTATATTACTGAAGCAAAGTGTCTGATGATGTACAAAGGAGGGTGGGGCGACCCTCATTTATAGTTGAGGCCCCCAGCTACACTTATGGCTAAGCCTTAGAATCATGGGATTATAATCTCTCTTAAAAATCAGGGATTACACAGAATACACATTAATATAGGATTCTACTTCTGATTTTCAGGGTCAACCAAATCCTCCAAAAGGTCCTTAGAATCATGGGATTATAATATCTCTTAAAAATCAGGGATTACACAGAATACACATTAATATAGGATTCTACTTCTGATTTTCAGGGTCAACCAAATCCTCCAAAAGGTTCCTACTGATCCTGTGCACTTCTAGAAGATCTAGGTGTGCACTTACTCCCTTGGGCCCTTCTAGATGTGGTACAAGCATCTTGCAAGCCTGGCCTTGGCCGTGCGGGCTGGCCTGCATTGGTGCCAACAATCTTCTCCCCCCAACAACACCATTGGGACTCGAACCCGTGACCTTAGCTCTGATACCACTTTAGGGCCTTAGGTGCTATCAACTCTCCCAAAAGCAATTGTTGTTAGGAAGGCACATATGTCACGGGTCAAGACTTAAGCTCCGAACCCACGCGGCTCCGGGACTCGGGCATCCACCCATCTGACGTCCCAAATCAGCCTGACTATCACGTTTCACACCCTTGTGAGGTATTATCCGCTTTGGCCCCCATGGTTTTACGGTTTTATCCTACAAAAGGCGTCTCACAAGGAAGAGGTGATGTGAACCCTTTTATACCCCAATGACCCTCTTATTATGTTTGATGTGGGATTCAGGACTCTTCTTTAGGTCCATGACATTCTCTCCACCCAACCTCGTGAGGCCCTCGTCACGGAGGCTGGCCACCCTGCCTACCTCCCTCGAGGGGCTTGACGTGGGTCAAACAATTTAGGGCTGGCTCTGATACCACTTGTCACAGGTGAAGACTTAAGCTCCGAACTCGTGCTGCTCCGGGACCCGGGCATCCACTCATCCGAGCTCCCAGATCAACCTAATTGCCACGGTTCACACCCTTGTGAGGTATTATCCGCTCTGACTCCCCTGGTCTCACGGTTTTGTCCTACAAAAGGTTCCTCATAAGGAAGAGGTGGTGTGAGCTCTTTTATACCCAAGTGACCCTCTTATTATGTTCGATGTGAGATTCAGGATTTTTCCTTAGGTCCGTGACACATACCCTAACCTTATAGTGCATTCAGCACACACAAGCACCTACGGCGTTCAAGTACATGGAGTTGATGGACGCGGCCAACCTCTAATTTGCCAACAGGGTGGATTGTGGTTAGCTAAAGTTTCAATTCAATGCCTAGTCCCAAGAAAGATTGGATCAATTTGCATGGTTTTGTTTTGGTTTTGTGGGTTGAAAGAAATTGGATCACATTTGATAGTATGGAGTATATTTTTCTATAAAACTCTAACTATACAATTCTGATTAGCATTTTATAAATTGGATTTTAATCAATATCAAGCTATTTTCCTTTTAGTACATAGTGAGGGAGATGTCCCACCCAACCTACTACCTAGGTAGAGTGAAATTGAATTAGGCACCCATCTCACTCTTGAGTATTTTTTCATGTCTTGTCACTTTGTCATCTAATTTCTCTATACCATTCTTAGATATCATCGAATTGCTAGATTTTAGGAATCCGCCTTTGTTCTTCTTTCTTCATTTGTTCCTCTCATGTTTGCATTGCCTCTATAAAAGTTGTTTGCAGGTTCACACGGGAACCTGCAAATGACTTGAATCTAATTATAAAGGCAAAGTATTATTGTCTACAAACAAGATAAAGGCAATGTCAAGTTCCTTATTTTGACAATATAAAGTTTTTCCTTTTCATTTTCTGTAAGCATGTGGGTAGAGGTGGCAAAAGGGGAGTTGGATCACTTTTGAGTTTTAGTTATTTTGGGTAGTTTCAGGTTTGGGTTTTCGTCAGATGTAAGTCGTTTGTAGGTTCACACAGGCTTAAGACTATTTTAGATCTTATATTTCAATATGATTTTCAGGTTCAGATGGTTTCGGATTCGAATTATTTATGGTTTGGGTTGTTTTAGATTGGGTTTGGGTCTTTGAGTTTTCAGTAAACTTGGATCTGACCAGGTTCGGTTCAGGCTTTTCAGCAGGTTTTAAGTTCAGCTTTATACTCTTAACTGTGGGAGAGAGAAAGGGAAGGAGGTTCGCAGCAGCAGCAGCATGTTTTTGCTTGTAAAATTGGCCCTTTTTTTTTTTTGCTCTGAATCATGTATTAGCTAAAATCAAGAGTTCCCTTTTCCTCTCCATTCCTACCTGATGAGTTTCTTAGGCAAAATATGAGCTAAATTTATTTTGGTTTAGCAGATACTATTTGGTGTGCGATTCAAATCAAAGCTGCTTTGTACTGTCAGTATATGGTATACGCAATGATGCAGTAAGTATACTGCTTTGATGTTTGCATCAACTTAGTCTCTCGCTTTATTCCCAGTCAGTCTACCTTTTTTATTTTTTTTTTCTGCAATTTGATTCTGTTTATTTGTCATTTAGAGTTTTGTGTTTGAATTAAGTAAACCTTATGGTCACAGATTAAAGAAGGAGATGTACTAATTTTGTTGGAACCCTATTTCCATAACGTTGAGTTTTCTTGGAAAGGAAAGGTATTTTTTTCTACTAGACTTCACCTTCTCTTGTTTTTTTTTTTTTTTTTGGGAGGATGGGCTTGGGAATCATGATATTTGTATTAGTATAGATCTCGTCAAAACCATCTAAGTTGTAATTGAGTTTTTATTTATTGAAATTATTCCAGTGTTACAAGTTCAAGTCGATTCGAGTGGATTTCTTGGAGCAGGTGCTTGTAAATGGAAAAGCTCTTCCTCCTCATCAGGCCATTCGCACTTCCATATTTGCTCAACATAAACCCTGAATGTTATTTGGAGTGTGATTACTGTTTGTGTTTACATGTTTTTTCTCCTTTTTCGTTTCATATTGGTCCTATTTAGGCATGATGATTCTTGTATTCGTATCGTGTAAAATATTAAAATTCGCGTATTCGTATCGTTTTACATGAAAATTACGTATCATAATTTTGTATTGACATAAAAATATAAAATATATTTTTTTATTTTATTAAATTTAGATGTAATTATTGTTAAAATTTTAAGTTGTGTTATTTTCGTATTTTATATTGATATCGTATTTATGTTATATTATTTTATCATATTTTAGATTGCCAGTTGGTCTTATTTGTACCTCGCGTAAACAGATGAACTGCTAAAAAAAGGAAAAGAGAGCATAATTTGTTGTTAATGTCAGATGTTTGCAAGTCCAAATGCAGAATGGTACCAGGGCTTTTCTTTTTTTGGCACAAAAATGTGGGCTATATGTATAGATGCGCAATTGTACCATATTCATTGTTTTCATTGTTTGATTTAATCCAATGGCTAAATTTGCTGTGGCTTGACCGTTGAAGCTATAACTATCCTCCAAGAGACAAAAAGAAATGGCGGTTACTGGACTACAATACAAAGTCAAAAGGCCATCCCCATTGGATGTTGTAGAAATAGTCAGAATAATACCCGCGCAAAGCAACCGGATGTTCCAAAGCAATTTCCCTCAAATTTATAAAAATATATTAATTAGAGTTTTTCATTATTATTTTCTTTAAGGCTTCAATTAAAACAATAAAAAATCATCAAAATCTCAACTAAAGAATTAAAAATCTGCACCAACAAAAATGCGATAAGAAAATTCTTAAGTAAAAAATGAAATAAAAATGTTGACCTATATAATATATGCACTTAATCAATTACATAATCAATTGCTAATTTCTTGATAATGAAGAATAAATTATATAATTATATTAATTATTTATAATTTAAATGCTAAAATTGATTTTAATTTCTATGCTTATATGTTTTTTCAATCAATTATATACTTTATGAGTTAATATTTGATGTATTAATAGTGTATTAAGTGCGGTATACTGACAATGAAGCATACAATAACACTTCATTAATAAATAAATATCATAATGATTTGAAATAGATAATAGTTCAAATGAATATGACTATTTAAACTTGTTCGATGAATATATTTATTTTTTAAATTTTCAACTAATTTTTGGAATATTAATAAATTAGTACTATTTTATTTCTAATAAACTTGTATGGACAAAAATAATTATTTTATGACAAAATAAAAGATCAAAACAATTTGAAATAAAATAATTGTTTAAATAGTCATAACTATTTGAACTCGTTTGGTAAAGAAATTTATTTTTTAAATCTTTTAGTTATTAATTTTTTAATTTTAATAAATTAGTATTATTTTATTCAGAGTAAGCTTTTATGAACAAAAACAATTGATTAATGATAAAACAAAAGGACATAATGATTTGAAATAGATAATTATTTAAATAGTTATAACTATTTAAAACATATTCAAAAAATAGATTTATCTTTTAAATTTTTTCTCATTATTTTTTGGAATATTAATAAATTTATATTACTTTACTCATATTGTTCATATAGTCATAACTATTTGAACTTGTTTGATAAATAGATTCATTTTTTAAATATCTTACTCATTAATTTGTGAAATATTAATAAGTTATTTTATTTTGAATAAGCATATTCATCATACAATTGTTTTATGACGAAACAAAAAGTCATAACGATTTAAAATAAGTACCTATTCAAATAGTCATAACTATTTGAACTTATTTGGCAAACAGATTTGAAATAAGCTTATATGAATAGAAAAAATTATTTTATGACAAAAGAAAAAGTTATAGCAATTTGAAATAAATAATTATTCAAATAGTTATAACTAATTGAACTGATTTGGTAAATAGATTTATTTTTTAAATCTCTTACTTATTACTTTTTGAAATATTAATAAATTTGGTTTTATTTTATTCCAAATAAGTTAGTAAGAGCTGAAAATTTATTTTATGACACAATAAAAAGGTCATACTGATTTGAAATAGATAATTGTTCATACAACTTTAACTATTTGAAGTGGTTAGGCAAACGAATTTATTTTTTAAATCTCTTAGTTATTAATGGTCAGAATCTTATTATATTAGCATTATTTTATTCGAATAAACTTGTATGAACATAAATAATTATTTTATGATAGAATAAATGGTTATAACAATTTGAAATATATAATTGTTCAAATAATTATAATTATTTGAACTAGTTTAGTAAATAGAATTATTTTTTAAATCTCTTACTTTTAAAATTTTGAAATATTAAAAAATTTGATTTATTTTATTATGAATAAACTTGAATGATCTAAAATAATTGTTTTATGACAAAACAAAAGGTAATAACGATTTGAAATAGATAATTCTTCATATAGTTTTAACTATTTGAACTAGTTCGATAAATGAATTTATTTTTTAAATCTCTTAGTTATGAATTTTCATAATATTATTAATTTAGTATTATTTTATTTTGAATAAACTTATATGAACTGAAATAATTATTTTATGACTAAATAAATGGTCAGAACGATTTGAAATAGATAATTGTTCTAATAGTCCTAACTATTTGAACTGATTTGGCAAACATATTTATTTTTTAAATCTCTTATTATTAATTTTTTGAATAATATTAAATTAGTATTATTTTAATTCAAATATGTTTGTATGAAAAGAAACAATTGTTCTATAACAAAATAAAAATCATAACGATTTAAGATTCATAATTGTTCAAATAGTCATAACTTTTTGAACTGATTTGATAAAAAAATTTAGTTTTTAAATCTTTTATTAATTTTCAAAATATTAATAAATCGATATTATTTTATTTTCAATAATTCTGTATGAATAGAAACAATTTTTTTTAACAACAAAACAAAAGGTCATAACAATTTGAAATAGATAATTGTTCAAGTGGATATGAATATTTGAACTTGTTCGGTAAACTAATTTCTTTTTTAAATCTTCTACCTATTAATTTGTAGAATATTAATAAATTAGTATGATTTTATTTAGAATAAACTTGTATGAATAGAAACAATTACTTTATGACAAAACAAAAGAGCATAACTATTTGAAATAAATAATTGTTCAAATAGTCATAACTATTTGAACTTGCTCGATAAACAAATTTAATTTTTAAATATTTTACTTATTAATTTTTGGAATATTGATAAATTAGTATTATTTTATTTCGAATAAGCTTTTATGAACAGAAACAATTGGTTTATAACAAAACAAAAGGCCATAACTATTTGAAATAGATAATTATTTAAATAGTCATAACTATTGAATGGGTTCAGAAAGCAAATTTATTTTTTTTAATTTTTTACTTATTAATTTTTTAAATATAAACAAATGTAATTATTTTATTTGGAATAAGCTTGTATGAACAAAAACAATTATGCTATGAGAAAATAAAAAAGTCATAACAATTTGAAATAGATAATTATTCAAATAGTCATAACTAATTGAACTTATTCGATAAACAAATTCATTTTTTGAAATTTCTTACTCGTTAATTTTTGAAATATTAATAAATTAATATTATTTTATTTACAATAAGCTTATATGAACTGATACAATTGATTTATGATGAAACAAAAGGTCATAACGATTTAAAATAAATAATTATTCAAATATTTATGACTACTTAAACTTTTTCAGTAAGCATATTTATTTTAAAATATTTTACTTATTAATTGGTAAAATATTAATAAATTTGTATTATTTTAATCTAAATGCTTGTATGAAAAAAAAATAATTTTTTTTATGATAAAATAAAAAGTCATAATGATTTGAAATAAATAATTCTTCAAATAGTCATAACTATTTAAACTTATTCGGTAAACATATTTATTTTTTAAATATTTTACTTATTAATTGTTTGAATATTAATAAATTTATTTAATTTTATTTGAAATAAGCTTGTATGAATAGAAAAAATTGTTTTATGACAAAATAAAAGGTTATAGCGATTTGAAATAGATAATTGTTCAAATAGTCATAACTATTTAAGTTGTTAGGTAAATAGATTAAATTTTTAAATCTCTTACTTATTAATTTCTGGAATATCAACAAATTAGAATTATGCTATTTTGAATAAGATTGTACGAATAGAAATAGTTTTTTTTTGATAAAACAAAAGGTCATAACGATTTGAAATAGATAATTGTTTAAATAGTCAAAACTATTTGCATTGGTTAGGCCAATAAATTCATTTTTTAAATCCGTTACTTATTAATTTTTAGAATATTAATAAATTAGCTATACTTTACTCTAAATAAGACTATATGAATAGAAACAATTGTTTTATGACAAAACAAATGGTCATAACGATTTGAAATAAATAATTTTTCAAATAGTTATAACTAATTGAACTGGTTTAGTAATAGATTTATTTTTTAAATCTCTTGCTTCTTAATTTTCAAAATATTAATAAATTAATCTTATTTTATTCCAAACAAAATTATATAAACAAAAACATTTGTTTTATGACAAAACAAAAAGGTCATAATGATTTGAAATAGATAATTGTTCATATAGTCCTAATTATTTGAATTGGTTTGGCAAACAACATTATTTTTTAAATCTCTGACCTATTAATTTTGAAATATTAATGAATTTGTTTTATTTTATTCTGAATAAGTTACTAAGAACTAAAAAAATTGTTCTACGACAAAGCAAAAGGTCATAACAATTTGAAATAAAGAATTGTTCATATAGCCTTAACTATTTGAATTGGTTTGGCAAACAAATTTATTTTTTAAATCTCTTAGTTATTAATTTTCATGATATTATTACATTAGTATTATTTTATTTTGAATAAACTTATATGAACAAAAATAATTGTTTTATGAAAAAACAAAAGGTTATAATAATTTGAAATATATAATTTTTTTAATAGTCATAACTATTTGAACTGGTTCGGCAAATAGATTTATTTTTCTCTTACTTATAATTTTTCAAATATTAGTAAATTACTATTATTTTATTTCAAATAAGCTTGAATGATCCAAAACATTTGTTATATGACCAAACAAAAGGTAATAATGATTTGAAATAGATAATTATTGAAATAGTTATAATTATTTGAAATGATTCAG